TAAACAGTCGTAGTGTCTTGAGAAACGTTTCGATCACTGCCTTGAGAAAAACGGTGAAATGCATAAACAGACGTCATCCATGTTCTGAGAAATCCAAGATTACATTAAAAACGGAACTGTTGTGTGGTTATTCCAAATTAAAATGTTTCTCAAGAACAACCGTAAGAATGCCAAGATATGAACAAAACTTGGAACCCCTGATGCGCTTCGAACCTGCGATCACCCTTTCCTCAGGGGCCCACTGCGCCAACCGAGGCCCAGTCTTTGTTTTCTGTTCAATGTTTTTTTTTACCCTAACGGTGCTAACAACAGCCACTCATCAATGGGAATGATATGGTGGGTCCAAATTGGCATTGGATCCAAATAAGCTGAAGCTGTAGTCGAAGTCACAATGTTTCAACCTTTACTTACTGGGCTTTCTTTTTTCAACGCTTTCATTTTTATTTTCACAAACTCATACTAAATACTGCAGGCGCCCCAGTATATGCCAAGTAACCTTCCTCAACGGGATTAACAACAGCTGATGGTTGCCAAGGGTTACAAACTGAGATTATCCTGGCATGGGATCATGAAGCATTAAGGGAAAAAATTTTTTTCATGCAAGGAATATGTAAACGAAATCAAAATTTTTACTGGTAGGGACAACATCCATAGTAAAAATTGGTCATCCAGTTATTCAAGCGTTTACATAGTATTATTTGATAACACACCACGGCTTTGTACAAAGAAGGAGACAGTGCTCATTAGTGTGTGTAAGGCGAACCGTAATGCTTCTGTTGACGAATGTCTGTCTAGTTCAGTGTCCGTTCCTATGCCGACGAAGTTCTTTTACTTTCCTGGGAAACAGCACAACCCAACCATTATCGACAAAGAGTAAGCAGCCACAGAACGAGGTGGAGAGAAATTTTTATTGACAAGGGAATCGTTTCATTTCTCGAAAATTGAAAATGTGAGAAATATCACAGCCATTACTCAGAAAAGAAGGCACATTAAATAAATGAAACGTTTCACGGCGTTGGCAAAAAAAAGAGAAAACGGCATCTGATGGTGCCCGAATGAATGCCGCTAGTTTTCTATTCATATATGAACAAAGACATCAAATGAGGTTTTCTTCACATTGAATCTGCAACTACACTGACCACAATTTAATTGACGACTAAATGTCTTCCATTGTTGAAGAATAAAAGCACTTCGCACAATCACATCATCGATTACATTTAGGTGAACATATACAAACCTTATCTTAACGAAGCTACATCACAATTCTAGAAAAAGAAATCATAGGCAGAAACAAATTTAGAGGAAGGAAAAAACAAGGAACATTTGTTTTTACCCGTTGAGGCAAATACACTGCCAAACATACACACACGCAAATGCAAAGGCATAGAAAACGATCGTGAACTAGATGCGTGCTCCTTGAGAACCATACTAACAAAAATCAATAAATCAATACTCTATAATAAGTGATCCTAGAAGGCCCTTGTTCGACCGATGGTACACTATGTTTTCATTGAAGACTTATTGAAGTTCATACATCAGTGTTATTATAACGAGATATGTTTCTCATCTCAACGACATTTCGACATCTGCACCTGAAGTAATCGATAAATCGATTACTAGAAAAACCATCGATGTACTTATATGTATGTATGTATGTATATGTGTATATATATATATATACATGATTGTATGTCTAATCTCTACCTTTTCGATGTCTGAACCCATTTTGAAAACTCATAGTGCATTTCTTCTTTTGTTCAATGAGCGGTGGCGGAGGCATTAACCGACACGAACCATCATTTGGAATTAACTGCAAAGTATAAATTGTATTCAGTGCAATCAAACTTTTCCCTTTTGATGAAAATGATCCGAAATTTGCTTTATTTACACTTTAAATTGGTTATGGTTTACTATGCGTCTAAATGGGTCACCGATGCTGAATGTGAGTGCAGGACTTCTATCCAGAAGCTCAGATAAGAAGAGACCTATGCCACTACATAACTCGGCCACCTACCTATCGATACCTTCAGTCTAAGCCTATGGCGAAAATCATAGTGTAAACATGTAACACTCTTTGTGTCTCTTGTTTTTTACCAGCAGTTTTCCGAGTTTACCGTTGAAGAAATGTGTTGAGCAATACCGGTTTTCACAATCTTCGCCCTCGACACACTGACGTTAAGGTATGTTAGAGACGAAGTCGTAGCATTCTATATTGACTTGTTTCACATGGAATATCACATATTCTTTAAGGTCATCGTTGAAGATTTTAATGCTAAGACTGTTGGACCAATAACAGCGCCTGAAGAACGTCACATTAGGACCTACAGATTATGATGAAACGGAAATACAGCGAGCGTCTATCTGAGTTTATCGTGACGAAACAGTCCACGAGAAAGATTTAAAGTTCACAGTAACTCAAAATTCCAGAAGCCTTGATCTCAACGCTGGAGGTCGCAATCCCCCAGTGGACAGAGTATTATAACGAAATGGACCACATTATAGCAAATCGAAGGTTTTCCCTAACCAATGTCGCTATGGTCCCAAAATTCTACACGATATCAGACCAAGGTCTCCTTTGCGCAAGACTTTATTTCTCTCGGAAAGAAGAAAATGACGCTAAATTCAAAAAAAGGAAACATCTCCTAAATCACCATGGACTGGGCTTTATTCATTTCACTGGATGGTTGTTGGGGAGATGACGCTCTTGATAACAAAAGAGACGCCTGTCTCCAGAAACATTCGAGCTGATACGCCAGCGTAGAATTGCACGAGCTAGAGACAACCGCGAACTCACGTACGAACTTCTAAAACAATGCAGAGAGTTCAGCGACAGATACGGTCGAAGTTAGAGAGGTTGAGAAAGCATTTGCAAGTTTACCGAAACCTCGCCAACTACAAAACCAAAAAGATTGCACTCCGACACCTGAACCGGAAAATTTCGGGTTGTAGAAAAGCAATAAAGAAAACTATTCGCGACTACACTTCGGATTTCTTCAATAGCCACCTCCTCCTTCCTATGAAATAAAGGATGGATGTGTCGTCCCACTGGTTCTCCCCTGGGAAGTTCGACGTGTTGTTCCATCGCTGAAGAATCGAACAACACCTGATCCGGAGAAGATGGGACTTAAACACCTGAAGAATTTCCTGCCAATCTTCAATAAACACACTGGGTCGGCTCTTCGCATATTACGGGTCAGAATCCAAGTTTCCTATTCAAAGGAAGACCAGCAAGATCGCGATATTGTTCAAGAATTGTGAGCTCCAAGATATCAGCAACTTTCGCCCTATCTGCTTGCTGTCTGTAGTTTGCAAACTTTACTCACTCAAGCCATCTCTAAACAGGATTGACAGGACACTAAGCGAAGGACTGTCATGTGAGCAAGCAGGGTCTCAAAAAGAATTTGGTACGATTGAGCAAATCCACACGATAACAAAACTCAATGAAGTAGCGCGAGAGTGCAAGGGACAGCTCCGCCACACTTTCGTCGACTAAAGGAAGCTTTCGATTTACCTGAGACGGAAGCAGTCATGGAAGCTCTGGACAGTTAAGGTGTTCCTACTCAGTACACAAGGATTATTCGTGATCTATATAAAAATTTCACTATCTTAACATCAATATCACCATCACCATTTAATTGAAAATATCATAATTCTAAAACGATATAAACATCAATGAAGAAAAAGAGTGCATAGAGAAGGCCATACCATCCCGTCAAAATTTTATACTACTACTCTACATAACGTCATGAGAGTATTGGAAGGGTAAAACAAGAGAGAGAAAGTCGATAGTCGGCAATCATACCACCCTCGGTTTGCTGACGGCATCGCTCTTATAACAACTAGCATAAGGCAGGCGGAGCTCATGCCAGCATACTTTGATAACGCTTGTTGAAATGTTAGCCTTCGAATAAATCTTACAAAAACGATGCCCATGAGAAACGGATTGGTTTTGCATCCTCCATTCACTCTCAGCGGAATTAGCATCTCTGAATACTTCAGATGTGTCTTCTATCTAGGTCGGGAAGTCACAAGGATGAACGACGGAACCCCAGAGTAGAGCAAGAGGAAGCGAGTGGCTTAGCAGCTTTCAAAAGGAATGAAAGATGCAGTGAAAAGGACAAAGAACACCAGACTCCGTGCCTACTTCCCCACTTCACGATTCTTCCTGCCCTAATGTATGGGTCAGAAACCGCAAGCAGGATGAAAGATCACTCAGCGTTATAGAACACGTGGCCGAAAGGACGATGCAAGAAGTGCCTCGTATAGCGCAAGTGAGAGACGCAATCTGAGCCTCTGACCTACGTCAACAACAAAAAATCAAAGATGCCGTTCTACACGTCAAACTATCAAAGATAAAGTTGGATCTAACACATAATGCTTCTGAACGACAACAGCTGGATTAGACCCGTTACCGTTCGTGACTGGATTCGTCGGGATGTCAAACGCACAACAAGAAGACCATCGATCCGATTGTCAGAGTTTAAAACCTTAAAAAAGATATGATCGTCAGTGAGTCCCTAGAACGAACGGAATCCACTGGGCTACTCTTGCACGCAACAATGAAGAGCTAGAAAGTTTATTGGCACCCGCTCGAGTCACCCGACGACCAAGGAAACGACAGCTGACAGAAGTGATACTTTGCTGAGTTATTACGCGACTGACGGCAGAATTATATGTGATAGGCGATTAGAAATGACTCTACGCGTATCCTAAAAATCAACGGTCCATATAGCGCACTGGTTTGAGGTACCATGCCATACACATGACTGTGGCTTCCAATTCGCGTTTCAGACAACCCTACAGCATCGGCACCTTAGTACAAGACCAATCTCAGAGGATACAACCATTGGCTTAAAACATCGATATGCACCTTAAGCCATTGTATAGGTCAAGCATACATTTAATCACCTCTACGATGTTGAAAGAGTACAAATCATGGCGCATACCCAAGGGAATGCTCAACGTCAAATGCTTCACCATACTTATTTTTAACAAAAAAATTACTTTATGTCCCTAAAACCAACCTCCGGATCTGGTCCGACGAGTGTTAACAATACTGGTAGTAGACACAAACCATTGAACACCGCTAATATAACTAACAACGTCATCACGATAAAGAAATACTTGATAACAAAATCGAACTCGGAGAACACCAACATAACGATTCCTGAAAGTTTCTCGTACAGATGGAATAAAAATCGAACAAGAGCTTCAATCTTTAAACATACAAAACGCTTTACTGAATATCTTCAGCTCCATGTAGCGATAGAGATTCACATGTAAATTATATCCTTTCTTGGATTGTATGGTATTCTTAACTGATTATCAACCACAGCGAAAGCATATTCAGACTGCAATGATTACCTTTGGCGCACAAATCACTGCTAGTGTTAAATTTTCGCAAACTACCAGCGTACTGTATTATCAGAAGCGCACAACCATTGCTATATGAAATTTATAAAGTGTGCGGTATCTGCTCTTCCTCCTTTTAAATACTTGATACTTGAATGGCTCGTCCTAACTAGTTGTGCGTGCCCCAGCATAATCACTATTTTTCGGAGATTTTCTGGTTAAGCTATTGTGCTTCCCTAGAATCCTGAGGTCAACCTGGCCAATGTCTGTCCCAGGTCTTCACCACCACACAAAGTAGCAGCCCTTGTGGATCAGAGGGAAATTTGCCGCCGTGCGACTTTGATGCCAGGACAGTGGTGGATCCTGGCAATGGTTCACTCTTAGCTAGGCATTCTGATAGAAACGCCGAACTCCTCAGCTTGGGAGAACCTGCCAGCGGATGAATCCCCCGCCGTACATCGCAGTCCGACATCCAAGAACACCAAGCCACGATGAGGCGGTAAACCGTTCGGAGGCTCTTTTCAAATAGTGAAAGGTAATATGAAAAAAACGTTTATTCATCGTTTTTCTAATTCATAGCAGTGCTGGAGCTGGTATATGATTAACCCGTTGAAATAGACTTAAATAATATCCAGAAAACTGTCTTCATCACTTAATACGGTATTTCTTGGTATTAAGCGTTTTAACTTGTACTATTAGATTGTTCAGAAATAAATGAGCGTTTTAAAACTTTTTTGTTTTAATGTATTTTTTACGAGTAAAATTTCTTTGTACTTTTCAATATTATATACCACTAGCAAGCAGGTTTTATGCTCTTTCTAAATATGCCATTATATTTTGTCAAAAGCTAGATTTCTTTTTACAAATTTGAGCTTTCAAATTTTAGATGTCAAAAACTAATTTTCGTCAAATTTTCCTTCATCGGTTCAAACTAGGCCGTAGTGCAGCAGAGACGGCTCAAAACATAATTAAGTTCGAGGTGAAGGTAGTGTTGGTGAATCAACAGTGCGAACATGATTGCTGAGATATTTGCAAAACTTCGTACCACAGGTGTCTGCAGTGGGGAACGAACGCGCTATTGTCCTTTCCGGGGAGTAACGCGTTTACCACCACACCACGCGAGTCTTTCGTTTCGCCTGTCTCTCAGCTAGTACTATCGACCTTAATACCCTGCCATAAAAATTATAGAGGGCAGAAAAAAAAGTAAAACAGTGCGAACATGGCTCCGGAAAATTCAATCTGGAAGCAAACACGCGAACAACTGTTCAAGAGCATGCACAACAGCTTGGAGTGAGCACAGGAACAATTTCCACTCACTTCAATCGCATAGGAAAGACAAAAAAAAACTCAACAAGTAGGTGCCGCACGAAAAAACGATAATAATAAAAAATCGCCGTTTCAAAGTGTCGTCTGCTCCTATTCTATTCTATTCTTCGCAACATAAACGATCCTTTTCTTGACAGAATTGTGGTCTGCGACGAGAAGTGGATTCTGTACGAAAACTGACGACTTTCGGCCCAATGGTTAGATTGCGATCAAACTCCACAGCGTATCCCTAAGTCGAAATTGCACCAAAAAAGTTATGGTGACCATTTGGTGGTCTGCAGCCGAGCTAATTCATCACAGCCTTTTGAATCCCGGCGAAACTATTACGGCAGAGAAGAATTGCCAACAAATCGATGAAATGCACCATAAACACCAACAACAACGGCAAGCATTGGTCAGCAGAAGAAGACAAGTCCTTCTCCACAACAATGCCCGACATCACGTTGCGGAACCAGCGTTGCAGAAGTTGAACGACTTGGGCCACGAAACTGCTTCAACTACCATATCCACCGGACCTCTTCTGCTATCACTTCTTCAAACACCTTGAGAAATTTCTGTGCGAGAAATGCTTTACTTACCACGATGACGCAAAAAATGCCTTCAACGAACTCATAGCTTCCAGAGCTACAGAATTTTATGCAACTGGAATAAATAAACTTGCTTCCATTAGCAAAAAATGTGTAAATTCAAACAATTTTTATTTCCATTAGTAAAGTTTCGTTTGAAGCAGGTTATGACATTTTAAATAATATGGTTAAAAATGCTCATTTATTTCTAAAAAACCTAATATTTGAGTAAGATTATCCTGTGAGATCCTCAACGGATACGGAGAACTCATTACTCTTTTTTGCTACTATGTGATTAAACGATTCAAATAAAACATTTTTAAAGGATTTACGAACCGAGCAATGTCGATATGGCTCCATGAAATACCGGTACAAACATGTGCTGCAAACAGGATTCCAGGCGATCATCGACGGAACCAAGAGAGGTAAGAAATGCCAGAACTACGTGAGCAGTGAACTCGACACCTAGAACGACGCGTTTCGTTGCACTAACTTCGCTTATGCCCGAGATTTCCTAGTTATCTTGCAAACTATTCCATTCGAAATGTCTTTTCTCCACTTTCTAAAGTTTGAGACGAAGTAACGGAACAGGTCATTGAATATCATTGAATCCGAATGGTAGTAATAGTTACCAATTCCTACAGCCGATATAAGACTAACAGCCGAGATCGGATTCATTTTTATGCCGAACAATCCCATAAAACCGCCCAGTTCAATGGTAACTATTACGACAATCACCATCACCTAGAAAAAGAATTAACCAATATATTGAACAGATAACGATCACACAGTGTTAACTATCTTACAATAATGGATTTTACTAAGTAGCCATTCAAAATCGTTTCCCATAATGGCACTTAATGCTAGAAGGAGAATAGATTCAAGGAAAAAACTAGAATTTCTTACAATATCATTTCTTCTCGTTCATAGATAAGCGATCAGGTAGGCTTGCATACTCTAATGATTTTTTTCTTAATCCATCTTCTTTATGTCTGTTACCAAAGATTTACCACTATTTTTGAACAACAGGTAAACTAAAACTAAATTCCTTTCTTTTCACAAGTTTCCAAAAAATAGGTGAGAATTTCTTAAAATCACAACGAAACTTCTAGAGGAGCACGATAAGAGTTCGCCAGGTGGTTCAGAATCAAACCGAGCTGTTGTATCTATTTTGTTAAAATTTATTTCAAATATCGTAGTCCAGTCAATTATTGGTCTTAATTACCGACAGTTATAAAGCGAAGATGTAAGCAAAAATTTCAATCAATATGCATAAATACCATAGCGGCCGCCCACGGATTGAACATCAACAGTGAGATGACGGCGAACACGGCAAACGCTATGATGCAGATGGCGCAGAAAAGGTTCCACCTAAAGCAGGAAAATAGCTTTAAAAAATGAACAACAGTATGAGCCTTTTATGACTCATAGAAGTTGTGGCATTGTGTGCGTGTATTCATAAGTTGTCAATGCTACAATTCATAAAAGAAACCCAAAAGAAAATTAAAAGTAGTGAACCGTATGGAAAAAGAGTTAAGCATTACACTAGTACAAGACCGTACCATTCCACTTGCTTATTATTTGTTGATAGTTGAAAAAAATATACATATTTTTCAAAGAAGATAAAATAAGGAAAAGAAAACCTCAAGAAAAGATACTGTTCCCAGAAAGTAAAGGCAAGACCGCTAGGAAAGTTTGGTAGACCCTTCTCAGTGTACTCATCACATACAGCACGAACTTCCTGGAATGCAATAATTTCTATTCGAATAAAATGCATAAAAACTTAAGCCTAAAGAGTTTCAAACATCTCTTGAAAAAGAATTTAAGGAAATGAAATGTAATATGGTCCAACGCCTTTGATAACTGGTATAAAAACGCATAACTTTACAAATATCACAGTGATCCAACTATTGGTAACTTTACAACTATCTACAATACGGATGAAATAAAAAAAAAGGATAAAGCTCTCAACGTTGATCAATCCCTGGATGATGCGTCATACCTTCGACTTCATTAGGGAACGTTTGGAGGTGAACGAATGAGGAAGTTTAGAACAGCTGATTATAGTCGCATGTGGTTGACGACTGCACCATCACACATCAAAAATTGGAATCCCTCATTGGAAGTCACGAAAAAAGCGGTGGGTTTTTTCGAGAAGTTGTTGATCGTGTAATTACCAAAGAGTTTTTCGTCTTTTTGTAAGTGTCATTGAGGTATTTGGCCTAGTAGACTGTATATCAGTATACCCTTCCAGGCTCTGAAGAAGGCGATACTGCCGAAACGCCAGCTAGCGTTGTATTGTATTGTGTTTTTCTATGGAACTAAATGTATGCTGTTTAAAAACCTCGCGATTGCTGAACAAGAAAACGACGCATTCATATTCCAATGCCGAGGTTAATAGAAAGTCGTTCCTGGGAACTAATCTAACGAATACGTTGGCGAAACGAGTAGACCACTCTGCGTCCGTATAAAAGAACGGCAAACGTCAACCAACTACCCCACTAGGCAGGCTTACGACCCAGAGACATAACGGGGAAGACTTTGAAGTACGGGTCACGATCCTCGCAAAGGAATCGAGAACACAAGCGCGCAAAACTTTCGAGCCGTTCTGGATTAATTCCAAAAATCCGAAGATGAACCACAGGGAAAAATGCCTCATTATCACGAGTGACATTGGGCAGTATATAAGTCTGTTATTTTGATGAAATGGGCGCAATACGATTCAGTGTGAACTCTGATGTTATAAGTACGATATCATCAGCAATGTGAAGATAGTAACTCCCAAGTCCGACTTTCTATTAACCTCGGTATTGATTGAATATATCTTTCTACTTCTGTTCAGCAAGCACGAGGTGCTATTTTATTTCTTTATTGACGAACAAGCTGACGTTTCGGGGGATTTCGCCTTCCTCAGAGCCTGGAAGGGTCAACTTGACAGCAACCCACTCGGCCAAACACCTCCATAACCAAACAGAGAAAACGCTAAACCAAGATTTCAATCACATCTAGCATAGCTCTGCACACTCACCGCTTTCTATGAGTCTTCCACTGAGTATGTCGCGTGAAGACCGACGGCACAGAATTCACATGGAAGCGTAATGTGCCCCTCCTATCAGAATAACAGGATTATATACTGTCCAATATCACGCGTGGTAACGAGGCATTCCTCCCTGCGGTTCATTTTCGGATTCTTGGAATTAATCCGGAATGCCTCTAGAGTTTTGCGCGCTTGTGTTCTCGATTCTCGCGCGAGGATCGTAACCCTTACTTCAAAATCTTCTCCGTTATGTTTCTGCGTGCTATGCGTACCTAGTGGAGTACTTGGCTTACGTTTGCCGACTAGGTGTTCTTCTATACGTACGCAGAGTGGTCTACCCGTTTCGCCAACGTATTCGTCCCCGCACGCTTCACAAGAGATCAGATAGACTGTACCCGAACTCATGCAGTCACCGTCTCTACCATTGGGACAAATTATGCAATTTTGCGTTGCACATAGACGGTCGTGTAGGCGGTTACGAACTAGCTGGCGTTTTAGATTACTCGGCGGCATTTCAATTATCGTTACCGAATTCTCTAGACCGGCCCTTCTTAAACAGCGTTTTATAGCTGCACTTACTTCATTTGAAATAAAGAGAAGTATAAACGGAACCTTATTGTCGCTAGAGTTATCGTTGGGGTACCTGTGGTTTCCTCTGCACCTATCTCGACCTACAGTTTTGTAGCCATTAAAAATGGCTATTTGCCGCGCCAAGTTCCGGGGCTCCTCTTTCTGCTGTCTTCCTGTGCACACGCTGATAGCTGTTCGAAACATGTTTCGCAGAAGCGCCCATTTCGTGTGAGAGGAGTGAGAGGAGAGGTAATGAACAAAGATGTTTTCACTACTTGGCTTTCGATACCATTTCGTAATGCACTCGTTTTCTGATAGGTTAATTTGCACGTTCAGGAATGGAAGCCAGTTTTCTTTCGGTTTCTCTCGGGTGAATTTAATATACCGGCCACAATGCCCCCTTACACGCAACTTTACAGAGATCACGCGGTCTCGAATATCTTTGAAAAGCTACTCTTCGCCGCATGGTTTCTAACAGAAAAGACGGACATGGCCGTGGTCAGATAGTTGGCAATTTTTCTGATCTTTTATAAACTTTTCTCTCTGCCATCGTGTTTTATTGAAGTGTTTCTGTCTAAGTGGGCCATTGCGTTAAAACGCTCCATGGCAAATGCTCTTTTGATCTTCAACCTTCAAAACGCTTTGCACTTAAAAATTCCATATTTTGAACAATTTAAGATGAAAAACTTACCTCAATCATATTTACAGTGACCGGTGTGTCGGTGAGATTTGTTTGATAAAATGGTATCTGACAATACAGTAACGGCCGAGCAGGCGGCACTACGGTCTCCGACTGAAATACCGTTACTTGATCGTCAGTTAAATTATGTAATTCTGACAGTTCCACCAATACCTTTGTGTCCTACTATTTTAAAAAATGCAATCAGTTCAGGCAATTTGTGTTTAATGGTGAAAATCCGTCTAATAGAAGCCCTCCTTTTTGGCTTACACAGTCACGATCTCTTTGGTTGATCTTTTGTGGACATAAAAGGGACAGCGCGCGTAAGGTATTAGCCGAAGGAGAAAAAAAAGATATTGTCATATTGTCATCCAACAACAGTCCGTACATTTTCAGAGAAGTACAAGAAAAACCAAAAGAATCGATTTGCTGTGATGGCTCAAGAACTAGATTTTCCACCACAACCGTTACTGGCACAATACATGTGAACTGAAGGAGAACACTCAACGACGTTTTCATTAAAATTCTCAATCGTACCGATGACATTTGCCAAAACGGTGGAACTGGTTGAAACGATGCTTGTGAGACGTAGTACATCATATTGTCGATATTATACCATCCAGTTAGATAGTTATAAAAACTCTCCGGTCGAATTATACCATTTTCAACCATTTTGACGTGACCGATCTGAACAGAAATAATCGATTTCTCCATAATCGCCTTATTTTTACTGTTATTAACGTTGTTAGAATAGTGACGCAGTAACTAAAGGTGCACTGAAATACAGGCATAATCGTTGGTTCGATCCCTTGTCCCAAGCAAGTCAAGCCTTCCATCGTTCCGAATTAAGCAAGATGAACTCGAATATTTCTGACCTGAAGCCCAATTAAAGGGAAAATTTATGCCATGGCGCAGCTGGACTAGTAATAGCCACAATTCTGATGAAGGTAGTTAAAAAAGCGATTTGAATTGAAAATGCGATGCTCTTCGTGTTTGTCGGATGAGCAGAGTCCAATGGACAGCTGCGGAACGCAATAGATGTAAATGGAAAGCTTACTAACCGCTGACGAAGTGTTATAAGTTCCTAACACAATTTTATCCCTACGAATAAAATAAACGTACACGTCCAGTGCAGTTATAATTTTCACCATATGAGCAAACCAGTCGTCGAGCGATCAACGCTTCTGGAGCAGGTTTTTGCTGAAGAATAAAGATGAATAAAGAGAAAAACTTATTGGAAGTCCGATCCATACTCTGATCGTACGAATAAACTGGAAGAAAATAAAACGAATTGACCTGTCCTTTGATGGGCATTCCAGTAATCGGATCCATTGTTCCGTTAGCGATTTCCTTATCCAGTGCCACTTGTAATGATTCAAGCCATATTCGAAGCATCGACATCCAATACGGTTGGAGTCTCCCGTTCGCCTTAACCATGTAAGAAGTTGAACCTGCAAGGAAACTTACAAGATTTCCACCAATATTCCAATTGCTGCAGCACTTTTTGTAATGTTTTTTTTTATTGCGCAGAATAAATGTTATACATGGACGACAAACCTAATGCGTCTCTATACTCTTCAATCAATCGCTGTTGATTTGGAAAGTCGATAGCCTTACCACGTAGCACGGCAAACATTGGATAGAATGAGAAATACTTTTCACGAGCCCTGAAACCTTTATGGATGACATTTGCAGGAATTTTGATTTACGATACCTCAGAAAAATATACCGACGTTACTGATACATCTACCGACAGTCTATATCTGACTACGACAAAAATTATTCAAAAATTGGGTTATTGACATCATATGAGCTTAACACTGGACTTAATGGAAATTTCAAGCAACACCCCTTTTTCTTAGTAGCGCACTAGCTCCAAAATTTTCACTTTATTGATATGCCTGGATTTACTACCACTTCGAATACTGCCTCATTAATTTCACAAATTAAATATTACAGCTAAAAAGTCCACTCGAACCTATTTGGATCAAAGTGGATGACAACTGGTCGAAATATTCCACTGCTCTCATCTAGAACGTTCACTAATCGTACTTTCACGTGGTAATTTTGTCTCAAAAAGTTATTTTTTCGATGTTTTACATCAAAAATCCTTATTTAGTCTCCTGATTGCTAACTATTTTAGTTATCTATTTGCCCTCTTTTTTATAAGCTCAACACAAATCTGTTCCATTTGAGAAGCACCGTATAACGATTTATAAAAGATGTTCAGCTGACTTCAAAAAGGCAGCCGGTGCTGTGTTCTCCGGCAAAACATCGGCCAACTCAAGTCCTAATGTTGTCGTGTACATACCGTATAAACCAAAGGTAATTCCACAAATTGTTACCAAGAAAACCAACACCTGAAATAAAGGACGGATTTTTTATGTGCTTCCTGCTTGCACATATTTATTTATTTCTTTATTTATTTATCTATTTACCCATTAATATGACGCGTTACTAAATATTGTTCAGATCCAACGTCTTCCTTTATCCGACTTGTTGTTCCGCGTCTGTAATCCAAGACAGCCTTTGGATTTGCGGTTGATTCGTTTACTACTTCAGGATTTTACCCTCTTTATAGATTTAGTTGAATTCTACCGAACTGATCGTCCGCGGAGTCTTGGAACAGCTTCGCACAGCATTTCAAATCGAACTAATCGTTTTGAAGCAGTGAGTCAACTCCTTCTGTCATTGTGGTCACCCATTCTTAGAACAAGTTTGTCATTCGTATCTAGCAGACCAGTTAGGAGTAGACCAACACGATGAATCACGGCCGCTTCGCTAGAAAGCTTGGTCGAAAATAGACAAATCAGACACGATCATTAAGATCGAACGACTTTTTCTGGTGATGACTTATAAACGTTATGTGGATATAATTTTAGAACTACAGGTAAAAATATATATTTAATCTAAGCATCTCTCTATACGGTTCATCGTGTCCTCGTGGCTAGGAGATGTTCTTGGGTGCCGAGCTGCGATATGCAGTAGGGGTTCATTCCTCAGCGAGGCTTCTCAAACAGAGAAGAAGTCCGACGTTTCCATCCGAAAAACCAGCTACGAGTAAACGAATGTCAGGAAACACCACTGTACTGGTATCAAACTAGTTGAATGGTAGCAAATCTCTTTGATTCACAGGGCAGCGACTGCCTGAGGTGACGATCCGAGCAAGGCTTCGGCTAAGATAACCTTGGGACTCCAGAGAACCACATTGGCCAAACCAACAAATCTCTAGATTCCCACAAACAGTGAAGACTTGCCATCCAAGTATGCAAGCACTTACTTACCCGATACTTGAACGGCCCGTCCTGACTAGTTGTGTGGGCCCCAGCATAGTCACCATTTTTCGGAGATTTGCTGGTTAAGCCATTGTGGTTCCCTGGAACCCCGAGGACAGCCTGGCCAAAATCTGCCCCAGGTCGTCACCACGACAGGCAGTCGCAGTCCTTGTGGATCAGAGGGAGATTTGTCACCATGCGACTTTGATACCAGGACGGTGGTGGAACCTGGTATACAAGCAAGTATCCAAGTATCTTCAAGTAACCAAATGCCCACAGGTAGGCCACTGCAATTATGCTCCGTCTGGCCCGGGTAGACTGGTTTGAATCAAGCTTGTTTGAAAGGAAGCTTCCTCCCACGTACAATGTTTGGCGACTTTCTTTGAAGAAGGTTTTGAAATATTCTACAGTTTTCCATACAGGAACATACCCCAGCAACACGCAATGTGGCGTCCATGGATGTTATTGACGGGAATTTTTTTTACAATGTTACTGAAAAAGTTTAAGCAAAATGTTACATGCAGTGGAAGAAGGACACGAGAATTGACCCACCTTAATCATAGGCAGTTTAAGTGCAGGAATATAGAAATTGGTTAGGAATCCGCCAACGGTGTACCACGGCTGATTCCTGGTGTAAGTGTCGATGTATGCGTTATTCGTCAGGTCATCCTTAGAAGACACCTATACCGCGAGAATTTCCTCAAGATTTTCTATTTTTTTCTTTCGTTGCAACCCAATAAAAAGAGAGAGAAAGAGCAAACAGTGTATGAAGGACCCAGTGTGAAAGTGATCTTTTTACTTTTTGATTGACTTCCCATTTAATCGACACCTCATTTACGATATAGCGTTACTACTCAGTGGAAATGGAAATCGTATAAAGCAACCAACTATAATGAAAAGCTCATTCACAACAGATTTCTATTCGCTAAAATATTCTACCCTTTCAATTTTATGGTTAAAAATGGAATGTGCACAAATAATGAATAGACTCCTCACATTATATGGGAATCCAGATTGCTTCTCGCCTTTTTCAGAATCACTTGCAGGTCCACAGAAGACGAGATCTCTTCGACCTGCTCGCACTCGACGAAGATCGAGACCGATGAATGCGGGAAAGATGAACATCAATGACATCAGGTTGAACGCCAACAAAACGGCAGTCTGAAAGGCATCTCTCTTCTAACTAATAGGAAATCATTGCTGTTTATAGCACCTAAGCCCGTTGTGGCAAACTACCTGCTTAAGATCAACGATATCATTAGTTGCCTGTGGTGATGAACTAACAACGTTTTAGCAAGACCTCCAAGAAACTCCAAGAAAAAAATTGGATAATTCATCAACCAATAGATTAGGTTCACTAAAATCAACATTGGACGTTCCCCCTTGTAGCTCATAAAATGTGAAACAAACGGTGGGGGTTATCAAATTTCAGGCTCTAAAAACGTCTTCGGGATTTAGCTAAAATACGCACCAAGACATCTAGCCCCGACCTCCATTATTACGCGTTGAGGTCACAGTTCACATCCACTTCTACGAGATCTCCCTTCAAGACAATGAAGAATGATATAAATACACCAACGAAATCACGGCCATTGCCCGTAGAGAAAATATTTTGCCAAGAAACGCTGAAGGGTAGGTTTGGTCATTCATCTCACTGTTGCCGATATCATTGATTCTATTAAGGATAAGGATAAGGATAGGATAAGCTATTAAGATCCAGCTAGAGTAACTAAACACGCGGGTAACAAATGCCGGTTATAGAAAAACTTTAAAGGAGACTCCAGTAGTATAGCGGAAAAAATACTCTATATAGCTCGAAAAACAACCAGCGAAAAGAAAACTGCAGAGGAAAGCGAGAAAAGAACCTACGCGGATATAATTTTCTACACCGAGTCCTAATAAACGAGTATGGGATTCCTCGTCCCTTGCAATTGTGTGACATCATCCAACCTCTATTTTGACTACACATATCAGCAACGTTGGAGACCTTATGCACGAGCTAAAAGATGCAAACCCTTCTTAAGCATGACAGTGACTCGAAAGGTCACGCCAGATTGCGTAGTCCAGATCATCGGAAACTATCCCGTGTTAGAGTGGAATTCAACGAAAGCGATATATATATATATATATATATAAATAGATATAACAAGCTCGAACAAGACCACCACCATGGACTACGATTGAGAGAGAAAGGAACGAATGGCATATGTGCTTGAGTCCGCACAACTCGTGAAAACGGACCGTCCAAGTATCCTATCCAAGTAGTATACTTATATATGGATCAGAGAGAACAGTTAATAACAAATGAGTGGCTTGGATATCAAGACGGTGCAAGCGTTTTCTGGTACGGACGAACACCTATAAGGTAGTGTTTATCTGTTTGTGGGTCACATAAACCAGCTAGATGCATTTGCAGCTGCAAACTATCTAGCCTTTGGTCAAAGAACAATAAAGTGTGAACCATTAATTTGTTAGAGTCTATGCGTTCATAATTGGACTAACAATATTTACCATTTGTATTTGTACTTACTATTTACTACAAAACATCATTTTTACACTGGTCAATACGAACCCTACTATGGCGCAGCGGTTCAATGTTCTTCTGCGATGTATACGGTCAATGGTTTCGTGCGGCTCTTACAGTCTTACAAGGCCGTCTGTTCACGCGGGTTCAAAAAACTGCTAAACAGTAGTTTGGGATGATAAAAACGTGATTTTATAGCCCGGCCACCGCAAGTCACTGCATGAACCAGATATGAACCAAGTCACTTCACGACGGTATGAATAGAGTCCAAGCCATTACACATCCGTAAGGAATTTATCAATTCAATTTACCTTTACAAAATGGTCAAAGTTTATCATAAAAGTAAATTAATATTTAACTGACCTGTGAACAAAACGATCTCAAAGCCGGAATTGGCAGCACGTAACCAGCACAGAAGGCAAGAATATTATTGATAGACGTAACCATAACGGACATTCCTATAGCATATGAATAACTTTTTCAAAAAACAAGGTAAAGTGGTAAGTAGATAGCCAAACTTTCTCAATCATCGAAAGCCAAGGCGAGTGAAAGAACCCCACATGAATTATGGGTAAGTGGAAGAGATTATGAAATGTTAAGAAGGACATTAGAAGCAGGAAAAATTCCTAAGAATTCCCATTTCATTTTTTGAAAGAAAATTGTGAAACTAATGAGGTTGTTGTAATAATCTAATGAAGAAGTAGAATCGAGAGAATCTCCTTCGAGAACATCCTAACGACCAATAGCCCTTTGTTTACAAAGGCGAACTAAAATACTACGTAGTGGTGAAATAATCAAACACGCTGTAACGCTTATGAGATTTCTGAGACTACGAAAAAAAAACAAAAAGAACTACAAAGCACATACCAGTTTCCTTTAGAAGAATTCCCATTTCATTTCTTCTCATCGTGTGAATTATCTCATCGTAATTGTGCAATAATAGGAACATATCATCAATACCAAGACCGAGCGATAAAAATGGCACAATCTGAAACATGTAGAACTGCGATGGCATTTTCAGCTCCTTTTTTTCGTAAATACTTACTAGGTTGGTAGGAAATAAATGTCAGACTTGTAATTTCACTTTTCTTATATTGTTTCAGCAACCTCCCAACGGTTTGCCGCCTCATCGTGGTCGGGTTCCTAAGTTTCCTGGGTGTTCTTGGGTGTCGGACTGCGATGTACAGCGGGAGATTCGTCTCCCCGGCAGGGTATCTCGAGCTGAGAAAGAGTCCGACGTTTCTATCAGGAAGTGTAGCCAAGAGTAAACCAATACAAGGATCCACCACCGTCCTGGTATTAAAGTCGCATGGTGGCAAATCTCCCTTTTGTCCACTTTTGCACTATTGTGTAGCATTGAAGCGATCATTTTATGAATTTTCGTTGCGTACAATTGAGTTACAATAAAAATCGTGTTTTGGCAGATCATAAACGTTAGAATTTCAGAAGTTAAAAAAGCAAGTTTATCAAATCTACACCTACGAATTCAAACTCGGATATCCCCATGCAGGCGACTCGAAGCATTCATGAGGTATGAGACCAACTAAGTGTTAAGGAACATACACTGCAACGGTGGTACGAAACATTTCGCAAATTCGACATTTAAATCGAAGGAGGCAGATGACATCCTTCTCCCATAGACTACAAAGATTTGACGATTTTTGCGGGAACAAATACAAGCATAACTCTTCAGTGATCTGCAGAAAACCGTGTGAGTATCTCAGCCTTTTAAAACGTTTAATGAACATTATAAGGTTTAAGAAGATTGAAAAATGTAAGGCACACAAACTGAATGACAATCATGACAATCGACGGCCTTTTTTCTGCGCAGCCAGAACGAAATGTTTCTGAACCATTCTGTGACGAGCGGTGAGAAGTGGAACGTACACAACCTCGGCGACGATCAGCTCCGTGGCCGGACTTTAATAGAGTTCGGCAGCACTTCTCAAAGCGAAAATCGCACCAACAGATCATGCTGACCGATTGGTGAGCTAAACCTGGTTTGACCCACCACAGCTCTCTGAATCGGGGTGCAACTATTACGGCGGAGGAAAACTGCTTTAGGCAAATCGACAAGATGCACCAGAAACATCAACAGGTGTATCACCTGATAATAAACAGCAACGTACCAACCACTTTTTTAAGCATCTGGATAACTTCCTATGCGAGAAACGCTTCGGAAACCAAGCCGAGACCAAAACTGCCTTCAGCGACTTCATCGCCTCCAGAAGTCAACAATTTTAAGTAATCGGAAGAAGTAAACTTATTTTTCCTCAATAATAATGTATGGAATGCAATATTTTTATTTCAATAATGAAGTTTATTCTGAACCCTGGTATGCCACTTTAAATGTATAAGTAGAAATCTAATATTAATGACCGAAGAACCTACTTTCTGCAACGCATTTTTGTGTTCACTCAAGAATCCAGGACACTCCATCTAATTTGTTTAGAACTGTCATATACCGTAAAATACCATACTACACCGAAGTTCACTGTGGGTAATGAAGTATATCCTAGCTCACCTGAGTCGTGGCTGCGTTGAAGTTGATGCCTAAAGCGGTCGTCATCCCCAAACCACAAATAGATGAGTACGTCACTAATACGACACCGATAAACGAAAGAGCCACATTTGATTTAATAGCCAGCCAACGGCCATCGATACGAGCTTGAGTGAAAGCCGCATAGATCACCTAAAAAGACAAGCCTTTGTCGACCTAACTAATCGAAAATGAAGTATGCTACCTTATCAGTTTTCGGAGGACTAATTTGAAACTAGTTCACTAAGAACTTTTTTTCGTCGTTTTCTTAACGGAAAAGCCATTGTTGTTGTTGTTGTTTTTGTCGATTTAATAACAATGCAGAAAAATTGTTTACCACAAGATGACGAAATATCTTTTCATCCAAAATCGGCTGAAATAAAGCAAAAAATCGTAAACCGGCTGATAATTCTATTGTATCAGTTTTGTGTGATGATCGCGCCTAAGCAGCCCTGATGAAGCGACTTGTACACAGACAAAGCAATATGAAATATACGCACGGATATATAGTAATAGATGTAGCGATAAAAGAACGAAGAACAGATAAACAAACAATATTCGTATAAAACTATCTATAAAAATACAAATATTTGTGCAAAAATGTTCAATAGGGAAGGAGAGCGCAGTGATAGTGATGCCAATCATCACATCCGATTCTGGTGCTGGTTCGACACCGCTCCGGGCTCACCAAACCTCTTATCGCTCCTGGGCAGAGAAATTGGTACCAGAACTGTCATGAAAAATTCACCCTCTGCAATCTAAATACTTGAGGACTTTCGCTTAATCGCAAATATCGTTGAATGCTGATCGAGTCGACTCTCCCTGGAGTCCTGAGACAGCCAGGTTAGAGCGCTCCCATTTTGGATTGCATGGAGTAAATTTTTCCTAGACAAGTATGGCATCAATTTTTCGACCCAAGAAGGATTGAAGGCTTGGTCACCCTGAGGGGCGGGAACGGACGTAAACATATTGCAGCACTCCTCTAATATGGCATCCTCTAATCATTGAGCTACACTCGCCCAAAAAGTAACAAAATGCAAAAACAAACTAATATAATATAGAACGATATAGTACCAACCATTAGTACGTAACCCATGATTATGATGGTGTAGTTGAACTGCGAGAATTCTTCAAGCATATCAGCAATGGAAGTCGACGCCAGTGGATGAAACACACGTTTCTCATCCGTCTAAAAATCTCACACCTTTAAATTACGAAAGTTAAGTTTGATTATTAACTATTCAACTGTAATCGATCGACCCAGTTCTCGTTGAAAAGTCTACACTGTTTCTATAAAACTCATGAAGTATTAAATAATGTTGAAATGTCTCTTCTATCCGAACAAAACAGCTTCACTGTATGGCATTTAATAAGGACTACACCTTACTGTTTGGTGCCCGATTTACTCTCTGTTCTTCGAAACCTTTAATGAGATCTACATGAAAATTGTAGACAGGTATTGTCTAAATGATTTGCTATGAAATTTGGCCATAAATGTAAAATATTCTTGGTCTTCTGACAGGTCTTATAAGGAACGTGGCGCAGTGGTCGGAGGCGCCATGCAACACACACGTGGAATTGATTACGGCGCCCATGGCCAGCTAAGCCTTCCGACCTTCCGGAGTCGGCAAATTGGTACCAGACCTGTCTGGGAGGACAGTAGCACTAGCTCGATACATCGGAAGGTCATCGCGAGTCAGTGTAAACGCCAGATATGCATTTAATCACCTCCAAACGGTGATTTATGAAGTCGAATGTATGGCGCATCCATCAGGGATTGATCAACACCGAGAGCTTTTTTTATTTTTATTCTTCTACTCACGTAAAAATTCTTTCGGTAATTTTTAAACCAGTTTATTTAAAAGAATTAAGCAACACACGTTGTTATTAGCTTGATGTCCATAGAGTTTTTGTGTGAAATTTCTCTGCCAACTGAAAATAATATCCGACGCCCATCCGGGATTCCATCGTGCAGTGTCTAGATTTGGATGCGAGTCTTTTTGTTCCTATAAATTTACCACTAATGAAAATAAATAACATAAACATCTAATCAAATGTTTCATTATGAGATCAGCTCAAGGAAAGGCATTGTTCTAGTCAGATCGAATAATTATCAGTGATGAACTGATTGAATGAACCTTAAATCGCAGAAACACATCAAACGGACTCGCAACCAGAAAAACACTCTGTAAAGCTTCTGCCGATCTCAACACACCGCTATTACGTTGGATTCCTGTGAAATCAAATTTTCACTGCGATGAATCGACAAAACATAAAGTTAAAAACATTGGTTGACCAAAAAATCACCTCCAATAATAAGATCTTCTGGCCATTCCATAATTCGTTTTCCGAAACCTTTACAACCACCAGTCATCACCTGCAATAATGAATAAATTGGACAATCACAACGATCAGTCTGCGTTGATTGATTTGACGTCAACACAAAACATGGATTGCCGTAGTTCCAGAAAGTTCCATAATTACAGGAAATCCTTGCTTTCATTTTGTTTCGATGTCTACTTCTATAGTTCTTCCTACCAGTTTTAAACGATGGAGAAATGCTTGCGAAATAACACTCCTTTTTCTCAAGCAAGGTAAGATCCTTTTTCTGATTCATTGGAATTTAAAAGGCCTGTAAATTTAGAATTCTGCGAGACGTTTGAAAGAAATAATCCATAAAAGAACGTTGAAAGATGACCGATAGCTGAGTTTTAAAGCCATTCAAAACACTTCACTACAATGTGGTACAATAAAGAGTAGATTTACAAAAAAAATTTACATAAAACGCAAATAAAAACTGAGGAAAAATTCCTCGTGAACTCATGAGCTTCAGATTTTCATTGTTCACAGTGGTAACACTTCAAAATAAAATTATTGAGCAATTAAAGATGGTGACGAAAAAACATCTCTATCCAACGATGTGAGATTCATCGATTTTTTCGTCGCTTTTCATTCCTCAGTACCTTTTCATAGTCAGGATTCTTCGGCATCTCCTTCTCCGTGAGAAATTCACCCCATCTGTTTGGATTCTCATGCATCCATTTCAATAGCGATTCACCATATTCCAAACACATCAGCTCCTTCGGATCCATCTTATTCTTCGAATGGACTGAAATCGAAAAAATACTGATTCCGAAATTATTCTTGGACGCATTTGTTAGAAAAGGAAGAATGCAGAACTACTAAATTAAAAAAAAAAAGGATAAAGCCCTTCGCGTTGATCAATCCCTGAGAGAAGTGTCATACATTTGATTTCATTAAGCTTGGAAGTGATTGAATGCATATGTGGTCTTTACAATGACTCGCAGCGGCCTACCCATGTATCGAGCCAGTGCAGCTATCCTCCCAAACAAGTCTGCTACCAATCTGCCGACCCTGGAGGGGTAAAAGGCTTGGTGGGCCATGGGTGCGGGGAGCGATTCCACGTGTGTCCCAGTGGCGCCTCCAACCACAATAATTCGATTACGTTTATTTTTATTGAGCATTAAATGAACAATAATATTTCATCTTCAGCAGCTTCCAACTGCAGCTCAAGAGGTCAAATCTACAGTACAACGTTTGAGGTATTCGACCCGACAATGACAACAGCCATGTTTTTTTTTTTCGCGCAAGCTGAAGAATAAAGAACTTTCAACTTTTGAAAGCATGTTAAACCTGGTTTAAAACTGAACTCAAAAAAAACGAAAAAATATCGATAGCTATAAAATTGATTGATAGGTCAAACTGCGCAGTGGGAGTGCCATAAGGGACCAAACCAACATCGCTGTGTGGTGAAAAAAAGAAGGAAAAAGACGGAAAGAAAGAGGAAGTGGTGGGAGAAAAAAATGAAGTTCTTCTATAAACTATCTGGCAGCGGTGTAATCGAGTGCGAACTCTTACAAGTTATATTACTAATTCCAGCCACATCGTAATCAGCTTCATTTTCGTACGCATAGTAGTCCTCATCATTCGTAGTGGCAGTGGTAGTGGTGATGACGGCATTACGTTTTTTACGACCTGTAAGATTAACGAGTGAAAATAGCTGCGCTAGGAAAAAAAACTTGTTGAAAACTCTTTTCTGATAGAAATCATCTTTTGTAGCTGAACTAACCAAAGATATCTCTAATAATGCTCTCGGTGATCTGTGACGATTCGTTCGAAGTGTCTTCCTTCTTGGATAACGGCTTACGCTCGAGTTTGATCTGAACGAACGGCATGATTGCTTCATCAATCCTTACCAAACAAAAGTTGTTCTTGCGCTTCATCCGATCACCGAATCACACTGATTATCGCATAAAATTCGGCGAACGATCGATAAAATCACAAAAATGCTGATTCCGGGAACTAACGCGTTCACCACCACACCATGTGGGTCATTCGTTTCGTCTGTCTCTTAGTTACTTTTATCGATCAGTGCCATCAGCAATCACCTGTCTACGGGATTGGTTTGGGTGGCCCACATCGACGCTGAACCCAATTAAGCTGAGGTTGTAGTTGAAATCACAATTCAATGTTTTTCATCAATAAGCAGACACTAGGTTGTTAATATAGAATTTGTTAGAACACAATTGCTGACGTTTCGGCGGTTTCGCCTTCTTCAGAGCCTGGAAAGGTCAAATTGAGATGTGATCTACTCAGCCAAACACTTTCACAACCCTAGCAGATAAAACTTGACAATTCGATTTGCATTCGCATAAGAAACAGCTTCATTCTAACACCTACCGTTTATTTGTTGTAAGTATTTAAGTTAGTTGGTGGATAGCCGCCGCACAGAGTAATAC